TGCCTATTTCAACTCCTACCAGCTACTTGCAGGCCCCACCCAGAGGTCCCCTAGGATGTCGGAAAGGCGGCTCCTCGCGGGGTCCCTGCTCCCAGTCACCCTCACCTCCATTCAGGCCTGACGGGTGGCCTCGCTCACCTTCCCTGGGATGGCACCTCTGGCGGGGCGAGGGGGGCCCTCTATCTGGGGCGTGGACAGACCTGCCTCCAGCAAAAGGGGCAGGCTGTTTTGGGGCTGGAGCAGGGAACGTTCTCCACTTTACAGGGGAAAGCTGAGGCTCGGGCAACTTTAATATCACTGCCTCTGGCAGCAACCATGTCCACGCTGTCCTTCCCTTCAGAGAAGCCTAGGCTGCAGGGGGGCTCCACTCCCACTCCAGGGCACCTCATGTGCCCCCACTGAACCTTTCCAACACTGTCCACTACACAGAGAGGCCTCATAGGGGCTAACTGTGCCAAAGTGAAGACCCTTGCCACCTCACCTAGGGGCTCTGACGTTGGCCCCACCCCCATTCCTGCCACTGGGTCTCAGGTCAGGCCCCAGCAGGCCTAGAGTAGAGGTGTGGAGCCAGAGCCACCCAATCCCCTAGGGACAGGTTTCACAACTTCCCGGATGGGGCTGTAGTGGGTCACAGTGCAGCCTCCAGCCAGGAGGATGGAGCGGCTCCCACTCCTGCTGCTTCTGATGCAGTGCTCAGGGGCCCCTGGTGAGTGCCCTTACTGCCCCCTACCCTGCCCTAATCCCCCAGCTGCTTTCAGGAAGAGGTCGGCCCCAGGCCCATCCTGCTGTTTGAGCCAGGAGCTTACCTTCCTACTAGGCACAGAGCAGTGGGTGACCTTGGCTTCTTGCATAGAGCTGGGCAGCCTGAGGAATAAACACACAGCCTATACAGGCTTGCGTTAGAACACCTGCTACAAGCCTACCGTAGCACTGAGGCAGTGATTCGGACCTCACGGACACATGCACACATGCAGGCAGTTATCCTTCATGAGCCTGATTTAACTCTCTAACTTAGCATACATCCTCACGCTAGTGAGAGTCCAGACTTGGAGTCAGAATACCTGGGTTGGGCCTCTGCCTAATTAATACCATAGCTCTGAGCCTTCACATTCTCATCTGAGAAATGAGATGAGAAAAGCTCCACAGGTAAAGCACCATCATCCACTGCTCTCAGAGTCAATGTTTTACACCTGAGCCTAGTGCCTTGCCCACTAAACAAATGCACTAGTGATAACTACCACCTATCCAGGCCTGCTTCTCCCACCCAAATACAGGGGTCTGACCCTTGAATGTGCCCACAGGGTCTATTCCAGAAGCCTTGTAGTTTGATCCCCTGAATTAGTAAAATGTGGAGGTACTGATATGCATGCCCACCCTGCAGGGCAGCGCTCGCCCTTGAATGACTTCCAGGTTCTGCGAGGTACAGAGCTGCAACACCTGCCACATGCAGTGGGGTCCAGGCCTTGGCAAGAGGATGTAGCAGACGCTGAGGAGTGTGCAGGGCGTTGTGGGCCCCTACTCGACTGCAGGTGAGTGGCCACAGGAACCTAGGTAAGACTGTACTTAGGGGAATCTGGACACCGGGTGACCCTGTGCCTCCTCCTCCCAGGGCTTTCCACTACAACGTAAGCAGCCACGGTTGTCAGCTGCTGCCATGGACCCAGCACTCACCTCATACACGGCTGCAGCGCTCCAGGCGCTGCGATCTCTTCCAAAAGAAAAGTGAGTGGCTGCGGAGAAGGGCAGGCTGAAGAGAGAGGTGCTGGGGCCCCAGGCCTTGTTGATCCTGGGTCTTTTGCTCCTAGGCTATGTTCGGACCTGCATCATGGACAATGGGGTCGAGTACCGCGGCACCGTGGCCATCACCGTGGGTGGCCTACCCTGCCAGCGCTGGAGCCTCAGGTTCCCCAATGACCACAAGTGAGACAGACAGCTCCCCTCTGTCCCTGCCGGCCTGGCGCTTGCTCCCGGCACGCACTGTATTGCTGCTCTCTAAACCCAGGTACACGCCCACGCTCCGGAATGGCTTGGAGGAGAACTTCTGCCGCAACCCGGACAGGGACCCCGGAGGTCCCTGGTGCTATACAACAGACCCTGCCGTGCGCTTCCAGAGTTGCGGCATCAAGTCCTGTCGGGAGGGTAAGTGGTTCCGGGTCAAGCTAGGGGCGGGAGTATGCCCACGCCGGTCCACGAACCCACCCGCCTCGTGTCTCCAGCCGCTTGCCTTCTGTGCAATGGCGAGGATTACCGTGGCTCGGTGGACCGCACCGAATCAGGGCGCGAGTGTCAGCGATGGGACCTGCAGCACCCGCACCCGCACCCTTTTGAGCCGAGCAAGTACGCGTGGGCGGGCTCCGCACGCGGGGGGCCGGACAAGGGGAGGGCCCAGGACCGCAGGGGCGGGGCGACGTGAGGCAGCGGTTGGGGCCAGATAGGGCCTGAGTCTCAGAGTCTTGTTCATGCCCCGCTGCCGCCCCCAGGTTCCTTGAAAAAAATCTGGACGACAACTATTGCCGGAATCCAGACGGCTCGGAGCGGCCCTGGTGCTATACCACCGACCCACAGATGGAGCGGGAGTTCTGCAACCTCCCCCACTGCGGTAGAGCGCGAGGGCGGGGCCTGGGAGGGCACATGGGACACGTGGGGGCGTGGTCTTGCTGGGAAGAGAGGAGGGGCTGGGCGTGGCCCTGTGGTGGCCCAAAGAGCCTGGGGCTCCGCCTCAGCCCCACGCCGGGTCTCAGCTCCCTCTCGGACTCCGACCGGCATCGGTCCATCCAAGGGTCCGAGGCACAGCCGCGCCACGAGGCCACGACACTCAACTGCTTCCGCGGGAAAGGGGAGGGCTACCGGGGCACGGTCAACACCACCGCCGCGGGCGTGCCTTGCCAGCGTTGGGACGCGCAGCACCCGCATCAGCATCGCTTTGCGCCGGAGAAATACGCGTGCAAGTGAGGTGGTGGGCCGCCGCTGGGGGCGTACTCCTGCAGGTGGGACCTGAGGGGGTCCCGGGCGGAGCCTGAAGGAAGGCGGGGTCTGTGGCGGGGCTGGAGGCTGGGCTCCCGGCCGAGGCTGGCTGACCAGTCCTTGGGCTGGGACCCACCGGGCTGAGCCGAGCACCTGCTCAGGGACCTTCGGGAGAACTTCTGCCGGAACCCCGACGGATCGGAGGCGCCCTGGTGCTTCACATCGCGGCCTGGCATGCGCGTGGCCTTCTGCTACCAGATCCGGCGGTGCGCGGACGACGTGCGGCCCGAGGGTAAGACCAGAGCTGGGGCTGGAGGCACGGAGCCGGAGGGCTATGGAGAGAACCAGCTGACGGCCGCCTCCCTCTGCTTCCTGCAGACTGCTATCACGGCGCGGGGGAACTATACCGGGGTTCGGTCAGCAAGACCCGCAAGGGCGTCCGGTGCCAGCGCTGGTCTGCCGAGACGCCGCACAAGCCTCAGTGAGTAGGTCCGCGCGCCCCGCCCCTCTTAGACTAACCCGGGGCGTTCTCAAACTGGAGCCCTACGTTGGTTTGGCATTACCCAGCTATGATTTTGTCCCCTCTCCCACCTAGGTTCACACCCACCTCCGCCCCACAAGCGCAACTGGAGGAGAACTTCTGCCGGAACCCGGACCGGGATAGTCACGGGCCCTGGTGCTACACCACGGACCCAGGGACCCCGTTTGACTACTGTGCACTGCGGCGCTGCGGTAAGCAACCGCGACACTCCCCGGGGCCCCGCCCCCAGCCTCCACCGCCAAAGGCTGGCTCCCTTAATGCGGCTGAACTTGGGTGTTTCAGATAATGACCAACCGCCGTCCATCCTGGAGCCCCCAGGTACGGGGCCAGGCGTGGGTTGCGGCCCCTTTAACCCCCATCTCCATCCAGTCGGGGGTTTCAGTGAGCCCGTTCTATCCCCCAGACCAAGTGCTGTTTGCAGAGTGTGGCAAAAGGGTGACTCGCCTGGACCCACGGCGCTCCAGGCTGCGTGTGGTGGGGGGTCAGCCTGGGAACTCACCCTGGACAGTCAGCTTGCGCAACCGGTGAGACACAACTGCCTGATCCCCCAGGAGGGGCTGAAGCTGTATCTTCTGTGCTTATGTCAGTGGAGGGTGGGAAACTGTCCCCGGCCTCAGAGGCCTTAGCCAAGAGATGGCAGGCTCCAGGACTGTTTCCTAACCTGCACTCCTCCAGGCAGGGCCAGCACTTCTGCGGAGGCTCCCTAGTGAAGGAGCAGTGGGTACTGACTGCCCAGCAGTGTTTCTCCTCCTGGTGAGCCTCCCTTGGGTTTGGGGACCCAAGGGATCCAGTCCCAACCCCTTGCCTTCATCTCCCCCTAGCCACCTTCCCTAGACAAGCCAACGGGGGAGTGTTGGGCAGCAGACTGAATCACGAATGATCTAGCAGACCTTCTCTCCCAGCAACATGCCTCTCATGGGCTATGAGGTGTGGTTGGGCACACTGTTCCAGAACCCGCAGCCTGGGGAGCCAGGCCTGCAGCGCATCCCAGTGGCCAAGATGGTCTGCGGGCCCTCAGGCTCCCAGCTTGTTCTGCTCAAGCTGGAGAGGTATGTGACAAAGGGGTGTGAGGTGGGACAGGGCCTTGTGGCCTCAGACCCTGAATGCCCTCATTCCTGCTGAAGATCTGTGACCCTGAACCAGCGTGTGGCCCTCATCTGCCTGCCCCCTGAGCGGTATGTGGTGCCTCCAGGCACCAATTGTGAGATTGCAGGCTGGGGCGAGACCAAAGGTAAGAGCACAGGGTAGGGGCAGGGACTGCTTCAGGCCAAGAGGCCCAGCTTTGGATCCCACCCACAGATCCTCTTCTTCCCATTCCCTTCACTGTAGGTACAGGGGACAACACGGTCCTGAACATGGCCCTTCTGAACGTCATCTCCAACCAGGAATGTAATGGCAAGCACCGAGGCCGCGTACGTGAAAGTGAAATGTGCACTGAGGGACTGTTGGCCCCTGTGGGTGCCTGTGAGGTCAGTGGCAGGGCCATTTGGCAAGCTGAAAATGTACTACTTTGCCCTCATGGGGGCTGGTCTCTGCCATGGCCCCAGCCCCCCTCACCAGTTCTTATACCTATCAGGGTGACTACGGGGGCCCACTTGCCTGCTTTACCCATGACTGCTGGGTTCTACAGGGAATTATAATCCCCAACCGAGTGTGCGCACGGCCCCGCTGGCCAGCTATCTTCACCACGTGTCTC